ATCCATTTCATCACAATTCAGTCATCCTAAAAAATTATTTCGGTATCTCAAATTTGATGTTGATGTTTGGAACTGGAGATATTTTAATTGATATTTTTAACCTATTCAATCAAGATAATGACTATACTGCTAAGTTGCTTAAAATAATAGAAAGAATCTTTACTGGCATTATCAGTAAAAGTGCTGTGTAATGTATCATATACTGATAAAGCCAGTAATGAACATTTTCTACTATTTAAAGTAAAAATAATGCCAGTAAAGAAATTAAGTTCCTTCCCAAAAGAAAAAAATGGCATGCTTCTGGTTGGAAAGGCAGTCTTACACTCCCCATGCCTTTCCTCACGCAGCACTCACCGCTTGCAACTTGATCATATTCATACTATTTCTTTCAACACTAAGAATATTAGTAGGCTCATTATTGAGTTCCAATTCATTAGTGCTATCTCTTTATCCAGGTAGCAATAACTCTCCCTATTGCACATAACTAGTCGTCTGTCAGTACTGAGTCCAGCAAACTCCGTGTCCAGATTCTGTGCTCCAAAGATAGCAAGCGTATCTCCTCCATATGTGCAGAGTACGTAGGCTGATATGTAATGGGCACCAGAGACATCAGTACACAATCACGCAGGTTAAGTGTACAGACTAAACTTGCCTGCTTAGGTTCAGACCCCAGCTGTGCCACCTAGTAAACTGTATGATCTCGGGCATGTCACTTGACCTCTCTGTCCCTCAGTTTCCTCATCTGTAAATATGAGGACTAAATGAGTTAATATGTAATGCACTTAGAACAGCACTTGGCACATAGTAGGAAGCACTATTTCGGTGTTTGATAAACCAATTAAATGAGTAATTTTGTCCCACTGTTAAGTGAAGCATCTGCTATCCTGTATCATAGCAATTACTCCTCTTCACTGTATGTTTTTGACACCGTGATTTTTAACATTACTTAGTAAAGAAATTTGGCTTTCTCTAAGAACAAAAATAAATAAATAAATAAATAAATTAAAAACCCCCTTCTCCAGAATTGTGTCCGGCTGAGTTTGGGACATCCCAGGGTCCAGAATGGGCCTACCGCATAGGAAGAGCTCAACGGTATGTTCGAATCACTGTGGGATCTCTCAGACATCCCTGCTCTGGCTTTAAGTGACTGAGCTGTGCTGTAGCCACAGCGACCACGGGTAGATACTACTGCCTACGAACAACAAGTTAAATATCTCATCTGCTACATTTACCTTCACGTTAGTTAGCGGCCTTCCTGGGCCACGTCCTGTCTTCCTCAAAGATATTTCATGATGAAATCATATGAAAATGCTTTAACTTCTCTGAGAAAGATAAGATACAATGCCAAGGTGACATTTTATGTTAGAACTAACCCAGAAGATGTGAAACCCTTGGGCCACATCTGGCTCACCACACAGTGGTAAGAAGCAGCTATTTACCCCTGTTCTGACCTGGAGGCAGCAACACAGAACTCAGAGCACTCCCATCAGCCACCATATGGTGCAAGCCTGACCAGGAGAGCCAAAACGTCAGGCTGAAAGCCACATCTGCCTACGCTGAATCTGGGAACTATCCAGGTCGTCACTAGGCCTGTGAGCTCACTGCCTAAATTTTACCTTGGGTCCATCCATTCCTCACTTTCCCATTACCACTGCTGCATTTCGAGGGACAGTTTCCTAGTTACATTCTCTACTCTACTGCCAGAACAATCTTCAAATCCAATCAGGTTAACTTCTTTGCTTAAAAACTCTTTGATGATTTCTCACTAACATCAAGATAATGCTCTCAGGGATTTGAACTAACTCTTTCTTCCTTTCTGGCTGCCCCCCACCTCATACTCAGTGTTGCAGTCAAAGAGAATTACTAAGAGTTCCCAAGAGAGCCCTGTGCTTGCAAATCACCATGCCTTGGACTATGCTGGTTTTCTCTGCCTGGATGGCTCTCTTCACTTCGCTCTCATGAACTCGACACTAACTCATCCCCAAAGATCTTAGGTCATGCCACATCTTCCCCAAGGAAGCCTTCCCTGACTAACTCCCACTCCTGTTCAAGATAGGCGCCCATTCTGTGTTCTTGGAAGTGCCTGGTGTCTGCTTCCCCCGCTGCCTTTGCCACCGTGCACTATAATTACCGTTTAGCTTCTGTTTCTCTCACTGGGCTGTGAGGAATTTGAGGACAATGACTGTGCCTTTTATTTCTGTGACTGGGAGTAGTGGCTGAGATCAAGCAGACTGAGCAAAGAGCGTAAAGAGAAGAGGGTCCAGGAAGAACCCAGAAAGGCCACAAAGGAGAAGAGAAAGAGCAGTCAGAGACACAGAAGAAAACTGGGAGAGAATGTGTCACAGAAGCTAAAGGAGGGCAGTTACAAGCAGGAAGGAATGACCACAATGTAAAATGCTGCTGAAAGGTTAAGTAGGACATGGTTTAAAACATGTCCACTGGATTTAGCAACCAGCAGGCCACTGGCCATCCGGGGAGTGGAGTGACAAGCCAAATTGCAGGAGGCTGGAAAGCAAATGGGAGGTAAAGAATTTGAAGCAGCTGGGGAAATGATATTCCTTTAAGATTTCCTTTATCATATTGTTGTTTGCTACAACATGAAGATTATGCTAAGTGAAATAAGCCAATCACAAGACAAGAAATACTATCTGATTCCACTCATATGAAGTCCCTAGAGTAGTCAAATTCATAGAGACAAAAAGCAGAATGCTGGCTGCCAGGAGCTGGGGAAGGGAGGAGTGGGGTGTTAGAGTTAAATGGGTATAGAGCTTCAGTTTTGCAAGATGAAAAATGTTCTGCAGATGGATGGTGGTGACAGTTGCACAACAATGTGAATGTATTTAACGCCACTGAACTGCACACTTAAAAATGATTAAAATGGTAAATTCTAGATTATGTACATTTTACCACAATTTAAAAAAAAAGAAAAAAGAAACATTGTTGTTAAGGAAATAAGATGGAGGGGCCAGCCCCGTGGCCAAGTGGTTAAGTTCAGAGGCTCCGCTCAGTGGCCGAGGGTTTTGCGAGTTCGGATCCTGGGCGCGGACATGGCACCACTCATCAGGCCACTCTGAGGCGTCATCCCACATGCCACAACTAGAAGGACCCACAACTAAAATATGGTCTTTGGGGGTAAAAAAGGAAAAATAAAATCTTGAAGGAAAAAAAGAGAATAAGATGGAAATTGCTACAACAGGACACGGGAGTGAGAGAGTTTCTGTTTGTTTTTTAACAGAGAGAAAAGAAACTCAGGCATGTTAAAAAATTGAGAAGAGTGAGTTAGTCAAAAGAGAGAAAAAGGGAATAACTTTTGGTGTGGAGACCTTGAGGAGAATTAGCCTGGGGCCAGAGGACAGGAGACTCCTACCTAGGCAGGAGGGCAAGAAATAAGGAGGGGGGTAGAGGAAAAGTCTGTTGGGAAGGGAATATAGGGTGGGCAAGAAATAAAATCTTTTTAAAGGCTTCTATCTGAGGACTCCTGTTTTTCTTTGAAGGAAGAGGCTGGGGAGGGGAGGGCTTGGAGAGGGCAGTGAAGGTCTGAGGAAGCTGACGAGGGGAACGGGAGGAGGAGTGCACCGAGGACTCGCAGAGGAGTCCGCGGAGGTATTTTGAGTCTGGACTGGAATGGGTTTGCAATGGTAATGATAATCTAAGTCTCGGGTGTGGCTTGGGGCAGACCCAGGGGGCGCGTGCACAAGGGTGTGGAGAGTCTGAATCACAGACAAGTCTCACCAAGAGGAAGGACAAGGGAGCCCTGAACTGAGAACGCTGGGCAGCAGGTGGCTGAAGTGACGCACTGCTGGGAAGGAAGGGAAGATAGGGCAGAGACACTGGGGAATGAGGGATCAAGGATCACACTCCTCAACAAGGGCAAGAGCAGGTGGAGTTGGAGTAAGGGTTGAGGGAAGTGAAAGACTAGGAGAGTGAAGTCAGCAGTGTAACACAGAAGTTTAAGATTCCTGGGCAGTTCTGGGTCCCTGCCAGGCCAGGCTTGGCCAGGGTATAGGTGGCTAAAAAGAAAAATTCCATCAGGAAAGACCTGGGTCCTATCCACAGGAGATGCTTCTATGTGCTCTCTCCCAAAGGCACAGATCATTAAGATGATCTTTTATGAACCTTTTCCCCTGGATTCAATTTTCTCTTTACTGCATTCCTTTTTTTCCCTTTAGGAAACCCCTTATGATCTAGGTACTATCCCATTTTACATCCTCATTCACCTACTTTTGTTCTTATATGATGTCTAAACTTAATATTAACTTAGTTCTATACAAAATCATGGGTTGGTAATCTGCAGAAGACACAAAAGCCCATTAAGATCCATATAAACGCAGTGACTTATTTTCCAGGGTCAACATCACATATTAAAAATACCAGCAAAAAATTAGTGATCATCATCTATTCAAATCTTTCAAAAGCTAAGTGTGGATATTTATATTATCTTGCTTAAATGACCCTGAGCAGACCAGTAACATAAAGGGGTCCTCCGGTTTAAACTGAAAAGAGGCCAAAAGGAAGGAAAGTTAAAGAGGAACTTGGGACTTTCATGTAGCCTCGCTACCCATGGTGAACTCAGTTTTCATTTCATTTGTGTTGAAAGTCGAAGTCTGTCTTGCCCACCATCTTCTTGCTCCAAAGATGGCAAGGACAGACTAGGCAGCTGTCCCTTTGGCCTTCCGGGGTTTGTGCACTTGCCACATAGTCTCAAACAATGTCTCATTGACATGTGCCAACACTGGCTTTCTCCAGTGCCACATGACAAAGAACCAAATCACCAACATTTTCAAATAGATTCGTTCCCCTTTTGCTTGGATTGACGTAGAAAATTTTTGACATTATATCTTACTGAACCGTTCTGAAATCAGTTAAGTGTAACGTGCATCTTTGCACAAGCCCAGAGAGTACTTTGCCACTTTCACAACATGTCATCCGAACATCAGAACATGCAGCAGGTGATGTTTCACTGGGAGAGCAGCACATGGAGACTCTGCTTTCAGTCCCACCTGTATGTCCTCTGAATGTTGTGACCAGGCTGCAGTTTTCTTGCTCCAGTTTGAGGATGGTTACTTGGCCTGAGTGGTCACCAATAAACACATGCCGGGTTTCAACATCAAATCTATCATGTAGGCATTAAGGATTGTTTCTCAAAATTGAGTGGATTTACAGAAAAAAAAATAATAAAGAGATAATAAATGTAACAAGAAATGTACGGATCCCATAAGAGGAAAACTTGGATACAATGCTGAAAGATACAAAAGTGGACATAACCAAATGAAAGATACAGTATTAGTGGATAGTAAGACAACATGATAAAGATGTCAATTCTCACAACATGAATTTATAAATTTAACACAATCCCTACAAAAATATCTACATATTTTTTTCCTAGAGCTAGATACATTAATTCTAAAGTTCATAATAGAAAAATAAATAAGCAAGAAGAACCAAGAATACTCTGAAAATAATAATAATATGGTAAGTGATAGGAGGAGGTTAGCTTACCAGATAGTAAAACATGTTATAAAGTCTCTGCAACTAAAAGTGTGATATTGGCAGATAAGTAGACAAATGGAACAATGGAACAGAATAGAAAGTCTAGAAATACACCTAAAAGCATACAGAAATTTAGCACATGTCTGCTAAAGGTGGCTCTTCAAATGAGCAAGGAAAAGATGGATTAAAAAAAAAAGATGTTGGCATAAACTGGATACTCATGTGGAAAAATAAAATAGGATCTGTATTTCATATTATATTCCAGGATAAATTCCAAATGAATTAGAGATCTAAATGTAAAAAAGGAAAAATGTAAGTTTTAGATGGGAAAGTTCCTCTGTAACTTGGAGTAGAAAAATTTATTACTCAAAATCACGAACAACAAATACCATAAACATAGCCAAAAGACAAACTGGAAAAAATATTTGCAACTTAAGTCACAAATGGCCCAAATCCCTGATATAAAAAGAGCAATCAGGAAGAAAAAGACCACAGACCTAACAGAAAAAGGGGTAAAATATATGAACGGATAGTTCAAAAAGAAATGAAAATGGTGCTGTGCAAAAAAGAACTAACCTAGCAGGCCTGACTGCTGTCCTTTGAAAGGCTGCTGACAAGGCTGGTGTGGCATCTGGGAACCTGGATTTCAAGAGAGTTCCCAGGGTTAATAGACAAGAGTGGCTCACTGTCCTTTAACTGTACAAACAATATGGTTTATGCCAAACACGTGTTTTCCTTCTGCGAGTATGGAATTTTGGTACATGCCAGGAAGCGGCTGCCTACGTGACCAGTCTCCAGTAAAAACCCAAGGCCCTGAGTCTCTAGCGAGCTTCCCTGGTTGATAATGACCAGCAATCCTACTCCTAGAGATCCATCTCAGAGATACACTGGCAAAATTACAAAATGACACATGCCTGAGGCTATTCACTCTATTATTTTAATAGCCAAAGTTTGAAAACAACCCAAAGTCCATCAAAAGGGGACTTACTGAATTAAGGATGATACATTCCTGCAACAGAATATTATGCAGCTGGGGAAAAACAATGGAGATCTCAATACCTTAGCAAACTGAGTGGAGTAATTTCCAGGATACATTATTAAGTGAGAAAAAAAGCCACGGTATATAAGAGTTTACATGCTACACTATCTTTGTGTAAGAAAGGGAAGGGGAATATAAATATAAGTGTGTGTGTGCTTATATTTACAAAAGGAAGCACCGGAAGGATAAATCAAGATCTAACCAAGTGGCCGCCTAGGGAGAAGGGAGAAATGAGCCGAGGGCACAGGGACGATCATGAGCCTTCTCTCTTGTTATATAGTTTCCATTTTGGAATCTTGTAACTATTTTACATATTAAAAATATTCATAAAATTAGAAGGAAAAATCTCCCAAATTGACAACCAAGTAAAACGAATGAACCTAACTATCAAATTGGTGATATAACCACACAGTTAATAGAATTATTTCAAGTGACTTTAAAAAACATTATTTTGGCTGTACATCCTTGGTAGAACATATTCTAAGGACAAAGAAAACTATAGAGAAATCTAAAATCTCATTCAACGGTCTTGTTATTAAAATACTGCTATTATTATTTTGAAACAACTTCAATATACCATAGGCTAAAGCAAATAAGGAATTACATCAATGTTTGAAATAAGAACCAAGATTTTCGGTCCAAGATAAAAGAAATCAAACACAAAAATGAAGTTAAAACCCCATAATGTTAAATTTGAATTAGAAATATGTGAACTAATGATTTATTTTCTTTTGAAAAATACACATAGCTATCTCTGAATACTATTCCTCACTAAAGAAATGGCTGATTTCAGCTGCAAGATGAGCTTAAGACATATGACAAAAAGAAAGTAGCACTCAAAGGCTAGTGGATTGTATTAAAAAGATATAGAAGCCAACGTGATGAGGCTCTTAAGGCCAAAGATGGGACAATATGAGCATCAAAAAAAAGTGACAATTTGGGGCCGGCCCCATTGCCGAATGGTTAAGTTTGTGCGCTCCGCTTCGGCGGCCCAGGGTTTCACCGGTTTGAATCCAGGGCGTGGACATGGCACCCCTCATCAAGCCATGCTGAGGCGGCATCCCACATGCCACAACTAGAAGAAACCACAACTAAAAAAATACATTACTACGTACTGGGGGACTTTGGGGAGAAAAAGAAAAATAAAATCTTTAAAAAAAAGAAGTGACAACTATTGAAATATACTGAATATTTTATTAAAAAAACAAACAAACCCTAAGAGTTTATAATAATGCTCAAAAACAAAAAAAGATCCCTATAGGAGGTAACCAGGGCACTAAATCTCTACTCTGAAAATGAACAACTAAAGAGAAATAATTAAGAATTTATGTTGCTTTTCCTATACTAATGGTATTTCAGGGTAACCAAGAGCCCTAGTTAACGATGGGAAGTTTTACTTTATAGAAGAATTCCAACTAATACATGTGGAAAAAACGATAGGATTACAAAATCACCATTTTGCAACCCTAATGAAAGAACTGGTTCAGGCAAAGACCAGTAATGCATGAAACCATTAAATGAAAGGCTGATGGGGAGGGCTGCACTGCAGGGACCTGGCTGTCACCATCTGAACCACCAGTCAACCTCTTGAACCAATAGAAGGGCGCCAGCACGCCACTACGAGCTTCCTGCTGTGAGGCACCAGGAACCACACAGCACAGCTACCAAGCGTTCTTACCAAAAATTGAATCTGAACTGAATCAAGATTTTAGAGGCAACTTTCAGTTTACAGAAGAATTTGGGAGAAGGGTAGGGAGAAAAACATTTTAAACAACATCATGAGAAAGCAGAGATCACTTAAGACCGTGGGGCTGTCTACAGGAGAACTGACTCAGTGCCTCCAACCAGCCACAGCGGCATAAAAAACAGTAAAGCGGGTCTTGGCTCTAGATTGAGAGATTTAGGAGATATGACAAGCACATCCGATGTGAGGACTTCGTCTGGACCCCACTTCAAACAAACCTACTGCAAAAAGCCATTTTTGACACAGTAAGTGAACCTGAAAATAGACTGATTATTCAACAATATCAAGGAGTGACGATAAATTTTTAAGAGTAATAATAGCATTGTGATTATTTTTAAAAGGCCCATCATTTTTAGAGTTGCACAATGAACTATGTAAAAATGAAATGACAAGTCTAAAATTTGCTTTAAAATATGTCAGCAAAAAGAGAGAGAAAGCAAAAAGGGATAGAAGAATCGACAGTGGAGCTGAGTAATGGGTATATGAGTGTGCACTACACTCTTTTCTTCAACTGGTGCCGATTTTGAAAATTTTCAGAATAAAACATTAAAAAAAACAAGCGAAGGAGAACAAGGCATAACAAATTTTTCCAGTCTGAAGAACAAGAGAGAAAAGTTATACTCTCCTAACAAGTTATCAGATACATGTAAAACGATATTAAGATTTATACGGAATAAGTTTACCTTAAATTTATCTTGATTAATTATACGAACACAGACCAAAAAACAGACTCAATCTAATACCTACAGTCTTTACAACTGCAGGTAAATAACAGCAGTCAGTAAAAAATATATGAATGTAACAAAGGCTATTTGGAAGACGGCTGAAATAAAATTATAGTACACCCTCAAAGTCAGAGTGATTGGCATTAGGCATATGAGGAAATAGGACAATCAAGATAACCTTAATAGCTTTTCAGTATTCTTTCCCTGAACAGGAATAGATCTAAGAAACTACTTGGTGGAAAGATATTCCACTATATAGGGTGACATCTTGGAAATATCTCCAACATGAATAAAATCTTAATATGAAGACTACCTGAATTATTTTTGTGAAAGCATGAAAAAAGTGATCAAAACATGGTCAAACGAAAAGACTAAAAGGTGAGGCTAGATAAAGTATTCACAAACTTAAAGACTAGCAAGTGAAGTGGGGAAGGAAAATAGTTCTATTTCCTAACATCAACCTGCCACGGGACCTTCGGGAGACACCTCCATTCTGCTGGGTCTAGTTGTGCAGAGCGCTAGCTGAAAGATCAGAACGCCCAAGTTCTAATCCTCATTCTGCCAGGTCAGTCAGGTGACCTCGAGAAAGGCCCTTAAGCTTTCCGAGCCTCTCTGAACCTTGGTTTCTACATTATGCAAATTAAGAATTAGGTCTTTTTGTTTTTACTGCACATTATTATTTGGATACTGAACGAAGTAACATTATGTGGAAGCAGCGTGTAAACTCTCAGGAAGTGCAAATGTCAGAAAATCTCTCTCCTCTCCTCTTCTCTCTCCTCTCTTCCTGATTGTTACTTAGTATTATAGTTCCCCACTTAATATTTGAAGTTTCAGATCTTTAGCCAAAGCAATCAAAGATTTTGAGGTTATTCAGAAACTGATAGTTCAATTTGTGAACTGGTCACAGTCGCTTTGCCCTCCTTTGCTTCTCTACTTAATTTTGGTTATTTTCATTGCGGATTTACTTCTCTGCTAAGAGGCCTGAAAGAAGAGAAAAAAGGCGGAATTCAATCTGGCTTATTCTATCCCTTGTTGGCTTGGGTGAATGACTTGGCGGTGGAGACAGGAGAGAATCAGTTCATCTGTAGAAGTCTCTTATCTTTGTACGTCACCAGTGTCCACTATGAAGAGAGATAGGGGTAATGATATTATTCTGGACATTTTATATTTTTCAACAGCTCTTCCTCCTTCCCTTATCACTACAAAAAAAATCCCTATAAGTATGGAAGGTGGCAGAAAGAAGAGAAGGAGAGAGGTGAGGGTGGAGGGTTCCCATGAAAAAACCTGTTTAAAACCTGGATGTTAATGTGAACCCTAACACTGTATGGGTTGCCTGTTAACAATCTGTGCACCAGGCAGCTCTGAGAAAAAAACCTCCAGCCTTGGCAAAGCCATACGGTTCTCGGTTGAGAACCTCTGGCAAAAGCAGTGCTGTCATGCCACCCGTGTGCAGCACTGGAAAAATGCCAGGGATACATATGCTCCCACAAGGGCTGGCACTGTGGCTCCAAAATTGGAGCTAGAGAGGCAGAGCTGGTGGAGGTGAGGGAATCTTCTGGAAGGGCCTGTCCCTGTATTATTGCAGCTATGCTCCACCTTAATAGCAAGGTTGGACTGGATGGTCATTTACACTGGGGAATGAAGCCAAACGCTTCACACACACACAAAATCTTCTGATTTCCAATCACGAGATTTTTTTTTTTGCTTGGTAAGCCACACGGTGTGGCCAAAGGAAACAGGTTAAAAACTAGGATGACTTTCAGAGATGCCTGAGGAGAGGAGTCAAAGACTACCACAGCCAGGAAAAGTTTAACTCTGTGTAGATGTTTTTTGTTTTTCATTTTCAGATAGTTTAAAAAGTAAACTTCTTAAGGGCAAGATCTGCATCTTTTCTATACTCCTAGGCTTGGCTAGGGATATAGAAGCCAGCATAGTCTGCACAACTATTTTGGTCTCATTAGTTCTGTTCTCAAAGGGGTAATGCGATATAATGGGAAAAAACAGCTGTCTAAGGCAGAAGACCTGGATTCTGGTGGTGCTTTTCCTACATACCAGCTGGGTGGCAGCAGTTAAGGGCCACGACCTTTTCTGGGCTTCAGCTGGCTCATCTGTAAAATGAGGAGTTGGACTGGATGATCTCCAAGGGCTTTCTAATCTTAATATTATAAGAAATCATTACTCTATTGACAAGAGAGCTCATGTATTTCAATTCAAGCATTATGCACGTCTGAACTGGCTTTTAGAAAGTAGACTTTGGAGTTTCTTTTATTAACAGGTGGTAGCACCCTCTCCAAGATAAGCTGATCTTGCTTTCCATTTCTTATCGCCCTTGCTTCTGGTCTTCCTGGTAACTTGCCACTTTTACAACCTTCCACGACGGCCATTCTTAGTTTCTTCATCTTGCCCTTCCAGTGAGGAAAATAAGAGTGAATTAGCCTGTACACACACAAAATTACAGTGCCTGCCACACGTCCATAAGGAAAGAGCAAAGCACTTTGTCAAACTGTCGAGAATCACTGAAGAGGATTTTATAAATATGAGACAAAAATTTGAAAGCAAGTCGTAAAACAATTTCTTCCTGCTTTTGCTGACAAGTGATCTGTTTCCACCTATATCCTCATTTGTCAGAAGGTGGAGAGAGATTCTATGATTTTTAAACTAAAATCCCAGGGCCCTTTACTCGTCAGAACAGTAGCACCATCCACACGGGCTTCACACTTGTCAAGCCTGTGCTTGCTGGAGCCCGGTGGGCCAGATGTGAGGCAAACTCAGCATTAGAGGGCATTCACATGGAGCACATGGGCCCTGGAGACTTGGGAGACAAGAACTAATATCAATCTACGTATCCTAGAAGTCTTGTGCCTGGAACAAAGGCTGTAGCATTACCGTGTAGACATCACCCAACCTACTCTGGTTCTGGCATGGTAGCCTTTCAATAAATATGTTTAAAATGAACGGGAATTCTGTGGTTCTTCTGCCAGGCACCAATATTAAGGTTCACAACCTTAATGTCTATGTAGAAATTACTTCTGTACAAAAAGAAAAGATTGTATTTTGGTGATAGGTTTATCTCCATGTTCCATAATTCTTCCTGACAGCTGAGGCTCACAAATCTGGGCTGTGTCCTGTCTAGATGTCAGACTTCGTGTCACAGGAGACCCCTAACCTGCGCAGCAGGGTCTCTTATTTTAGGTAAAATTACCTCACTTTACTCCACCTACACAAGGACTCATGATGACTTGAAGGTTAAGGAAGTCTATGAGCATCTTAATCAGCAGGGTAACTCAGCAAATAAAACGAAAAACTTTCAAGTTGCACATACCCAAAATTTTCATGAAAGAAAGAAGTCAACAGCTAGGTTCCCACCAAGGGATTTTGTCCAGCAAAGGATACTGCAGGCCTGAGGCCACAGCACTGGTGCGATAACCTCCCAGGCGATGCCCACTCTCAGAGCAGTGCCAGGCAAACTGCTTGTCCTGTCCCGTGCTCAGCACCCACTCCAGCTCCAGCACAAACAGGATCATCGTCACTCTGCTCTGATGCGCTAAAAAGTAAGAGACAAGAAGACAACCGATAAAGCATGCTAAAGGAGGAAAAGCACGACCTGCAGAGATGCATTACTCACTTCTCCCCACTCCAGAGTCAGGTGAATGGTAATGACAACCACTACAAACACAGGCTAAAACAGTGGTTCTCATCGGGGGTAGAGGTTTGCCACTGCAGAGTGGCATGTCTGAGTTTCTATGTGATTTTTTGAAAAACCTATCCATTTCCTCCCACTGCTCTCTTTCTTTCCCACCTGCACCAATCCAAAGATTTCTATCACAGAGAGCTCCCATTACTGAAGGGCCTGCCTCTCTCAGACATGTTAGAGCTGCTAGAGAATGCCAGATTTAGTGTGACCACAAAACACATTAGGAACAATGTTCTTCTTCTTTTTTTTTTTTGGTGAGGAAGATTGCCCCTGAGCTAAAATCTGTTGCCAGTCTTCCTCTTTTTGCTTGAGGAAGTTGGTCCCTGAGGTAACATCTGTGCCAATCCCTGAGGTAACATCTGTGCCAATCTTCCTCTATTTTTATATGTGGAATGCAGCCACAGCATGGCTTGATGAGTGGTGTGTAGGTCCACATCCGGGCTCCAAACCCATGAACCTTGGGCCACTGAACTGGAGTGCGTGAACTTAATGACACACCACTGCCAGCCCCAGGAACAATGTACTTATAATAAAGTCACGGGGTCAGATTACGTGAGCTTAAAAAAAAAGTAAACAGCATTCCTGTTCTCTTTTTGATGAAATTTGACTTATAAACCCACAACAAAGTTCTATAAGAAACTGAATGTTAGGAAAGGAGGGCAGAAATATCTCCAAGTGCCATATAAAAGAATGAAACATCCTTTATGTCAAAGTATACACGTATATCATAATGAGAGCAAATTTCCCAGGGTTGCTCATATCCAAAGGCAACACCATAACAGAACTATTGCATCACACAATTTCAGAGTTAGAAGAAACAATTCATGTCATCTATCCCATCTCTCTATTTTACATATAGGCAAGCTGAGGCACAATGAAGTTGAGTAGTTTGGCTAAGGTCTCATGGCTTCTCAATTACCACAAAAAATCAACAAAATATTTGCTTTCTTCTTACGTAATTCTGGGGGGTGAGGTAGAGGGGGTCTGTGGCCACTGAATAGAGCTGACTGGAATAAACGAAGATTGATATCCTGGAACCAGAATATCACCGGGCCCTGTGCCCAGGAGCTGGCAATCTGGTGGGCAAGAGTAGACGTATCACGAGTATCTCGAGGTGATAGAGAAGACATCAGTTTCCCATCTTGATCATGAAAACAGGGTTAGACAGTATGGAGGGATCTTTGCAGCTCTACCGGCAAAAGCAACACTGTCTGCCAATTTCTGAGTGTCTAACAAGTGCCAGGTACTTAAATACATTCTCTCACTCAGTCATTGTAATGACCCTGTAAGGTGGGTGGTTTCCTCATTTTACAGACACAACCCAGCCTTGGCAAGATGGCCCTTTTATTTTTATTTTATTTTATTTTTTGCTGAGGAAGACAAGCCCTGAGCTAACATCTGTGCCAATCTTCCTCCACTTTATATGTGGGTTGCCACCACAGCACGGCTGATGAGCGGCAGAGGTCCATGCCTGGAATCTGAACCTGTGAACCCTGAACTTGCAAACCCAACCTGCCAAAGTGGAGTACACTGAACGTAACCACCACACCACCAGCTGGCCCCAGGATGGCCCTTTTAGATTGTCTACCAAACAATACAGTCAGAACCACAGTGAACACCCACATGACAGTCATTTCACCAAATGACTAGGGTTTAAAATCTGGTATTTGAAGCACAGAGAATCTAAAGGGATATAGAAGGGGTATAATACTATGTCTTCTCTACAGTAAATACCTGCCTTTCAGAGTATCAGCCACTATTCAAGATCAAAACATTGTCTTTACAAGGCTATCATTACCCTGATACCAAAGCGAGACAAAGACAGCACAAAAAAAGAAAACTACAGGCCAATATCCCTGATGAACAAAGACCCAAAAATCCTCAAGAAAATATTAGCAAACTCAATTCAACAGTACATTAAAAGGATCATACACCATGACCAAGTGGGATTTATTTCAGGGAAGCAAGGATGGTTCAATATCCACAAATCAATGTGAGACACAACATTAACAAAATGAAGGATAAAAATCATATGAACATCTATATACATACAGAAAAAGCATCTGACAAAATTCAGCATCCATTTATGATAAAAACTCTGTACAAATTGGGTATAGAGGGAATGTACCTCGATGTAATAAAGGCCATAGATGAGAAACTCACAGCTAATATCATACTCAATGATGAAAAGTTGAAAGTTTTTCCTCTAAGATCAGGAAGAAGACAAGGATGCCCACTCTTGTCACTCTTATTCAACATAGTATTGGAAAGTCCTAGCCACAGCAATTAGGCAAGAAAAAGAAATAAAAGGCATTCAAATCAGAAAGAAGTAAAACTGTCACTGTTTGCAGATGATATGATACTATATATAGAAACTCTAAAGACTCCATTAAAAAAACTTTTAGAATAAATGAATTCAGTAAAGTTGCAGAATACAAAATTAATATACAAAAATCTGTTGTGTTTCTATACGCAAATAACAAACTATCAGAAAGAAATTAAGAAAACAATCCGATTTACAATTGCATCAAAAAGAACAAAATACCTAGGAATAAATTTAACCAAGGAGGTGAAGGATCTGTACATTGAAAACTATAAGACACTGGTGAAAGAAATTGAAGAAGACACAAACAAATGAAAAGATATTCTGCGCTCACGGATTGGAAGAATTAATGTTCCTAAAATGTCCATACTACCTAAAGCAATCTACAGATTCAGTGCAATCCCTATCAACATTCCAATGGCAGTTTCCAAAGAACTAGAACAAATAATTGTAAAATCTATGTGGAACCACAAAAGAACCCAAATAGCCAAACAATCTTGAGAAAGAAGAACAAAGCTGGAGGCATCATTCTCCCTGATTTCAAACTATAGTACAAAGCTACAGTAATCAAAACAGTATGGTAGTGGCATAAAAAACAGACACATAGATCAACAGAACAGAAACAGAACAGAAAAGAGAGCCCAGAAATAAACCCATCATATATCGTCAGTTAATTTATGACAAAGGAGCCAAGAATATACAATGAGGAAAGGACAGCCTCTTCAATAAATAGTTTTGGAAAAACTGGACAGCCATATGCAAAAGAATGAAACTAGACCACTATCTTATACTATACACAAAAATTAACTCAAACTAGGTTAAAGATTTCAATGTAACACCTGAAACCATAAAATTCTTAGAATAAAACATAGGCAGTAAACTCCTAGCCATTGGTCTTAGTGATGTTTTTTTTGGATCTGACTCCAAAGGCATGGGAAACAAAAGCAAAAATACACAAACAGAACTACATGAAACTAAAAAGCTGCTGCACAGCAAAGGAAACCATCAACAAAACAAGAAGGCAACCTATGGAATGGGAAAAGATATTTGCAAATCATATATCTGATAAGCAGTTAATATCCAAAATATATAAAGAACTCACACAACTCAACAACAAAAAAATGAACAACCTGATTAAAAAATGGGCAGAGGCCCATCAACTGATGAATGGATAAAGAAGATGTAGTATATATATGCAATAGAATACTACTCAGCCATAAAAAAGACAAAAATCATCCCATTTGCAACAACAGGGAGGGACCTTGAAGGTATCATGTTAAGTGAAATAAGCCCAACAGAGAAAGACAAACACCATATGATTTCACTCATACATGGAATATAAACAAACACATGGACAAAGAGAACACATTAGTGGTTATCAGAGAGGAAGGGGGTTGGGAGGGTGGGCATAAGGGGTAAAAGGGCACATATATATGATGATGGACAAATAATAATGTACAATTGAAATTTCACAATGTTGTAAACCATTATGACCTCAATAAAAAAAAATGGGCAGAGGATACGGACATTTTTCCAAAGACGACATACAGATGGCCAAGAGGCATATGAAAAGATGTGCAACATCACTGATTATCAGGGAAATGCAAACCAAAATCACAACGAGATACCATCTCACACTGGTTAGAATGGCTATTATCAAAAAGACAAGAAAGAACAAGTGTTGGAGAGGATGTAGAGAAAAGGAACCCTTGTACCCTTTTGGTGGGAATGTAAATTGGTGCAGCAACTATGGAAAACAGTATGGAGACTTTTCAAGAAATTAAAAATAGAACTACCATACAATCCAGCTTTTCCACTTCAGTGTGTCTCTCTGAAGAATATGAAAACACTTATTCAAAAAGATATACGCACCCCTACGTTCAGTGCAGTATTATTTACAACAGCCAAGATATAGAAATAACCCGTGTCCATCAATGGATGAATGGATAAAGAAACTGTGGTGTATATATACAATGGAATACTACTCAGCCATAAAAAAGGAAATCTTGCCATTTGCAACAACATGGATAGACCTTGAGTGCATCACACTAAGTGAAATAAGTCAGACAGAGAAAGACAAATACCATATGATTTCACTTATATGTGTAATCTAAAAAGCAAAATGAAGAAACAAGCAAAACAAAACAAAAACAAACTATAAATACAGAGAACAGATTGGTGGTTACCAGATGGAAAGGGATTGCAGGGTGGGCAAAATGGGTGAAGGAGCTCAACTGTATGGTGATGGGTGGTAAGTAGACTCATGGTGATGATCACTTTGTAGTGTATACAAATACCGAATTACAATGTTGTATGCCTGAAACTTACACAATGTTAAATATCAATTTTACTTCAATAAAAAAACAAAAACAAACCAAAAGATGTGACTTCTTGGAGAAATTCCTGAAGATCTTGTTATGTCTGTGTCATTAAATGTTCAATTCAAGTTCTACCAATGATGGAATAAAAACGGACTCTCTAATGGATCCAAGTGTACACAAGTCTATTTCAGGCAGAAAGTGGCTCC